GCCCCTAGATTCTTTATATATACTGAAAATTAAATCTTGCTACATCCATACAACAGAATATCACTCTCCTTTTAAAACAAGATGAGCCATCCTTGAAGACACCAACATGCAATAACCATTGTTGAATTACGTATCACTTCTAACTTTTTAAACTATTTTTTATTCTCTTTTTAAAAAATGAGGTAAAGATAGATTTCTATATGGAGATTTGAAATAGTTATCAATATACTGCTGTATAGAAACAACAAGATGTACATGGTTATAGTGTCATCCCATTCATGTTCAAGTGAAAAACTGCATCTTTTTTCCTTTCCTTTTTTCCTTCCTTCTTTCCTTCCTTTTTTCCTTCTTTCTTTGGTACAGGGTCTCACTATATAGTTCAGACTCATAGTGATCCTCCTGTCTCAGCTTCTCCAGCACTGGGATTACAGGCATGCTCCACCATGCCTGGTTTTGGTAGCTGGCAGGGCACACCCAGGGTTCCTTGGCCAACACGGCATGTGGCATCAGGGATCAAACCCAGGTCCTTGCACTTCCTAGGCAGGCGTTTAACCCAAGCATTTAACCCTAACCCCATGTAAATTTTTAAATGTACTGAAAATATTCTAAAAAGCTTTGTACCAAGATATCAACAAGTTAACTCAAAGAAAGAAAATAAAACAGTACTACATAAAACAAAAGGAAACTTATAATCTTTGTGGTTCTGTAACTTTTAAAAAATAGTATCAGAGATTGAACTCATGGCCTCAGACTGAGTTACATACACCCACTTCTTTTTTAAAATTATTAAGACAGAGTCTTGCTGTTGTCCAGGCTGGACTCTAACCTGTAATCCTCTTGCCTCAGTCTCCCAGACTGCTGGGATTGGACGTATTTGACACTACATCTGGCTTTTATTTCTGTAATCTTTTTTTAAAATCATGAGTATGTATCACTTTTGTCTTTAATGCACATGCAGAGAATTTCAATTAATTACTTAAAACATATTTTATGGGCCAGGGAGATAGCTCAGTGGAATAAGTGTTTGCCTGGCAAGCAGAAGGTTGAGTTCAATCCCTGGTACTACAAAAAAAAAGAAAAGAAAAGAAAAAAACACAACACATATTTTATTACTCTAATCCCAAATTCTAAAGTCACTTTGTCACTGAACACTGCTAGACAGTTAAATTCCTGACAGTCTTATTTCTATCTAGAACTCAAGCACCAAGCACAGCTTCTTATAGTGAGTGAGTGACAAATATCTGCTGAATAAATGAATTAATATGATAGCTAAGAGCCCATTCTGTAAGAAACCAGATACTTCTATTTTCTAACAAGTATAATCTTCAAATCACAACATAAATTTTGGTATAGCTGGGTATGGTGGCACCACCCCAGTAATCCTTGTATTCTGGCGCCTGAGGCAAGACCACTGTGAGCTCAAGGCCAGCTTGGCCTATACAAACAAGATGAAGACAAGACTGTACAAACAGACCTTGCCTAAATAAATACATATATACATACATAAACTTTGGTAGTTGTATGTTACAGAAACCACAAACTATGGCTTTTCTTCCTTTCATATTAAAAAAAAACTATCAGTGTGTGTGGGGGGGAATCAAAAACCTAGACCTTATCTTTTAAAAAATAAGTAAATCCCCAAATGGAAACTGGTAGTTGCTGGGACTAATGTGGCCAAAGCCCTCAGGCATGCAAGCACAATGCACAGCTACTGCAGGCACTGCTTCTACCTGTCAGTTTTTAACTTGAACATACTTACGTTCTCTGTACTCTATTTCTGCTTCCTTACGCAGCTTTTTCTCTCTAGCAAGAGCTTCGGGACTTCCCCAAATCTCCAAGGATCTGTGCATACACAAATGCCACCAATGAACAACTCTAATGATGTATGGTAATTTATACTTAAATCTAAATGAACTATTATAACTTAACAGAATTACATAAAAAAGCATAAGGTCTTTATAGAAAA